GTCTCAAACTCAAAATCTCCTCCCTTCCTCCCTCAGAGTGCTAAATTCACAGTGTGAATCACCAAACAACTTGAGTGTGTTTTCTCATGAGAGGTTTTATTGTCTGATGCTTTTTTCTTTTGCATCACATGATTTTTCTCCCTAGTTGTGATATAATGATATTTTTGCCAGTCCTGGAGGCTTGAGTGCTGTTTTACTCAAGACCAGTGCTTTACCACCTGAGCCATAGCTCCACTTCTAGTTTTTTTGGTAATTTATTGGAGATAAGAGTCTCACAGACTTGCCTGCTTGGGCTGGCTTTGAACCATGATCCCCAGATCTCAGCCTCCTGAGTCATTTTGATGAATTTTTAAAGAGTTTAACCTTGCATTCTTAGGGCAACCCTATTTGGTCATAATGCATCATCTTCTGTGTCAACTCTAGATTTTCATAGTTTTTCTTTCTGTTAATTTCTAGTTTTATTCCATTGTGGTATGATAAAATACAAGATATTGTTAAGAGTTAACTTCATGACCTGAGCAGCTGTATGAGGCCTCTTTCTCAACCAGTTGCTGGGCATGTGATTCACACTTGACATTCTTCGCTACATAGATTCTTGAGATCAGGGAGGTTTGAGGTCAGCCCAAGCAAAAAGCAATCTTTGAGATCCCATTTCAACAGAAGAAGCTGGGTGTGATGGTATGCATCTATCATTCATGCAATGGCAACACTGAAAATGAGGCTGTTGATCCAAGTGCATACGCAGGCAGGAAGTGAGATGAGACCTTTTGTCAAAAATAACTGATGCCAAAGGGCTGGAGGAGTGGCTCAGTGATAGAGCACCTGCTTAGCAATGGACCCTGAGTGCTAAATAAAGACTTGCTTTATTACCTCAAATATGCTGTTTGAGAATATTCCATACGCTGTGAGAACATACATACTACGGGTTGTTGGTGGAGTGCTCTATAGATGCTTGTCAAGTCCATTTGATCATCAGTATTGTTTAATTCTGAAGTGTCCTGGTTACTGTTGGGAGAGAGAGGTCCAGATAACCTGTGTGGTGAAGGAGGGTAGTGCAGTTCCTTATTACTGGCGTGAGGTCTGTCTGTGCTTTCAAATTCAGTCGTGTTTGTTTTATGAACTTGTACTAATGTTTAATAAATATATGTCTACAGTTTGGCATCTTGAAGAATCATTCCCACTATCAATATAAAGTGAACTTCTTTGTCTTTTTTGAGTAATTCTGGTTTGAAACTTCTTTGTCAGATGTGAATATAGTTACTCTTGCTCGTTTTCAGGTTCCATTTGCTTGCAAGATCTTTTTTTTTTCCCTATCTTTTCACGCTAAGCTTGTGTATCCTTGCCAGGAAGTATGATTTTTTTGTAGGCAGGAAATAGTGTTTTTTTTTTTTAATTCTAATCTGCAGTCCATGCCTTTAAACTGTAGAGCTGAGAGCATAAATACTTTGATTATTATTGCTAGGTTTCAGCTTCATTCTTTTCATTCCGTTATTATCTAAATTGTGGGGTTTGAATTCAGAGCTTCATGCTTGCTCTTTACCATACCTACAGTCCTTTGCGTATGGTTATTTTGAGATAAGGTCTCATTTTTTCCTTCGCTGGCCAGATCCACAATCCTCTTCCATTCTTTACCTGTGCCTGGGATGGCAGGTTGGTATTACAGCTTGCTGAGATGGAATCCCATGATGACAGGTTGCTGTTACAAGCTGGCGGATGGCTGAGACGGAATCCCATGAACTTTTTTTCTTAGGCTGGTCTTGACCTACCTTCCTCCTGAACTCAGCCTTCCAGTTAGCTGGGATGACAGACATGCACACACCTGGCTTGTTTTGCTCATTATATCGTTGGGCAGCATGGCTTTGTTTGCTTTTAAATTCCCATGTAATTGGCATATCTCTCCCTATCTCTGATTCCTACCCTACCTATAAAAAATAAAAATAAGGGGGAAAAACTGGCACTATAAGTTATTGGCTTAAGTTATACTCCCAGAGAACATTAGCATCTTTAATAGTTGATGCTGTTCTTGTTGGTGTATAAAACGTATAGAATTTAGTATCTCCCTAAATAGGTGGATTGTAGGCCTAAGATGAACCTTTTAGTACCACAAAAAAAAAAAAAAAAAAAAACAGTGGAAGTGGAATGAGAAGAGCCTGGGCTTTGTATATACAGTTCCTGTGTGGCCAAGAACCTGTGAAGTCTGTGACTTCAGAAAGGCTTGGGATTTGACCTAAGGACTGAAAGAGCCATCCTTCTGAATGGTGGTGAGGATGATGTGAGGATTATCACAGACCATAAAATGTCAGCCCACATTAATTAAAGCCCTGCATGCATATATTTGCATGTTAAAGAACAATTCTATTGATAGCTTTTCAGCTCTGTTAAATGAAGCAGCAGGTTTAGTGTGATGTAGAGGGCACACACCAAGCTTTAACAAAAACTCCTTTAAAAGATACAGTGTCCCTTCAGAAGCACAATTTTATACTTTGTTGTTTAAGAAAATAGTCCCATTATCATTTCTGTTTTCCAAATTTGATAAGTTCTACTTAACTGCTTTTCAGGTGAAAATACAATTCTGGAAAGAAATCTAAAATACTGACTCAAAACTTGTTATTTTTTCCTCCTTCATCTGCTACTTGCAAAGGTAATGGCTTGTCGTCTTGTCTCAGCTTTTGAAGTGTGGTTAAAATACTGTATTTGAGAACCATGTTTGGCTCTGTGGCCTTGTGTGTGTTCTGACTTAAAGAGACCTTACCATCCTTGCAACAGCCTTCTCCGTGTGCCCTCGGTGGGGCCTTGGATGCTCTCTCCATAGGAGGATTACCCTAGGAATGTGCCCTTTTTCTGCACAGATTCCTTCTGCTGGAATTGCCTGCCCTCTAGTTCTTTCCCAGTGATGCAAGCTACTGCCACACAGCCAGCTTGCTCACCCAAAGGCACTGCTTTTAAGAAATACTAATGCACTTTGTAGTACAGCTTTTCAGTCCTGGGTTCTCATTTACCTGGGGGGGGGGGGTGGAGGGCCTGGCGGGCATGTAGGTTTGAACTCAGGGCCTGGGCGCTGTCCCTGAGCTCTTTTGCTCAAGGCGAGCACTCTACAATGTTGAGCCACAGTGCCACTTCCCTCATTTACTTTTTATACTCTCACTTAGAGCTTTTATCTTGTCTTTTGCCAGCTTTTCTTCATAATCTGTCAATATTTATTTTAATTTTAAAAGAGGGTTTTCCTAAATTCCATAATATAATTGCTGTTGGAAGCAAGTGAGTTACATTTGTTCTATGTCATTGTGTACTTCCTGTCATCTGTGCCCTTGGGTCACAGCTGTTAGAGGCAGGGCACCTTGATTTTTTTTTTTGTCTCAGACAAGCCCAGTGGTTTATTACCCTTTCGTAAGCAAGACTTGATGCAGTGTGAGCCCTTGATCTTACTCATCTTTAAATAACTGTACGCTAGTTGCTTACTACTGTTCATTGTATTACTGCTGGTATAAAACCCCACAATGCTGGAATAAGCAGGGCAAAAGAATGTGACGGTCTAGAATGAAAGCCTTAAAATTAGTCATTCTATCTTAGCAATCTTTACTTCTCTATAATACTGACAGATAGAAATGAGGAAATGAGTCTAACCAAGTAATTACAAAATTATGGGAAATCTGTGATTTTTGCTTTTTAAAAAAAGCTACATTAACTGGGTGCTTCATACCTATAATCCTAGCTACTCAAGAGGCTAAGCTCCAGCCCAGGCAGCAAAATCCATGAGACTTACATTCAGTTAGCCACTAGAAAGCCAGAACTAGAGCTGTTACTTATGGAGTAGAGCACCAGCCTTGAGTAAAAATCTAAGGGACAGCGCCCAGGCCCTGAGTTTTAAGCCTGAGTACCAGTACACTCCTTTCCCCGCTGCCCTCCCTTCCCCTACCCCCCGCCGCCCCTGCAAATTAAAAAAGCTAAAAACTTCTTGAGAAAGAAAGGAAATAAATGGCACAGAAGGATTCCCTCACACTCCCCTGAAGAACTGTGGAAGCTGTGGAAGGGTGTGCCGAAAGCAATGATTGGATTCTGCCATGAAAGATGTTCTGTGGAAGTCTGATGTTGCAGGCTGAGTTGTGCATGCAATGTGGCACGTGACCCATAGCAAGGATTTTAAAGTTAGGTGGACGCAACTTCCCTTTGGTTCTGTTAGCTCTGTACCCTTAACCTGTGCATTCCCTTCACACTAAGTGCCTTCACCTGCAAGTGATGATGGGGCGAATGTTACTGGATAGAGGTCCTCCCTGTCAGCAGAGTAGATGACTCGGTGCTGGGACCGCAGTGGCTCCTCCCAGAGTGAGTGTCCCAAGCCCCTGGGCTGACGTATGAGGAGCCCTTGTTCCCCATGTGTCCTCAGAGAGGATGCTCTGTGGCATCCGTGGTCCTCCGGCCACTCTTCAGCCTGTACCTAAATCCAGAGCGGGGAGGGGGGTGTTCACTACTCTGATACTCAGTTTTAGAGAATGACAAAAATATTTCCTAATTTTGTAAATTACTGATCCATTTAATAGGCTTCTATGGAAAGATTTCTGTGCATTTCCTCTAAATTATTCTTGTGATCACTATCCGTCTTCTTTTTTTCTTTTACTTAAAATGACTCTAAAATACAGAGTGGAAAATAAATACAGCAGATGGTTTTTACTTGCATGAAAAATGGTTGCTAGGAATTGAAAAATAGGTTTTCACAGTTGCAATCACTGTTTTCAAGGCGATTGCGGTTGCAGCCTACTGCATGAGAATAATAACGATAATGATAATAACATTACGATGTGCGGGTTCAGCTGTGTCGGTCCTGTGAAGGGTAGGTACTGTTATTATTGTCATTTCCAGATAAAAGGAACTGAAGCAAGAGAGGTTAATAGCAAAGACAGCCCGGCTCCAGAGCCCACACACCAAACCACGTCTGGGAGGACTTAGAGAAGGTGAATGACCCAGAAGGTGGCAGGTTGGTTACATTTGGATGTGCTCCACAGGTATTCTGAGAGAAGCCTCACGAAGTGTATTGGAATTACTATTGAGACAAGACCAGATTATTGCATGAAGCGGCACCTAAGTGACATGCTCACCTATGGCTGCACGAGGCTGGAGATTGGGGTGCAGAGTGTCTATGAAGATGTGGCCAGAGACACCAACAGGTAAGCCACTGGCAAGGGCCCTGCACAAGCCCTGCTCTCTCCTGCTGGCTTTCTCTGTATTCACACTCAGCCTTTCCTCCTGCATCCAGGCCCAGGAAAAGAGGATTGGGATTCTGCCCATTTTTTCCCCCTTGGCAGTACTGGCATTTGAGCTCAGGGCCTTGTGCTTGGCTCTACGTCTTGAGGCATACCCCAAGTCCCTTCCGTTTTAGGCATTTTTCAACTGGAGTCTCATTTCTGCAAGCACTGTCCTGGACCACAATCCTGTTTATGCTTCCCCCGACACTGGGATGAAAGGTGCACACCACCAAGCCAGTTTTTTTTTTATTGGTTAAGATGGGTTTCGTGAACTTTTCTGCTCAGACTGGCCTCAGACTACTGTCTCCCAATCTCTACCTCCTGAGTGACTAGGATTAGTGTGAGCATCAGTGCTCAGCTCAAATTCACCCTTTTTCTTCAGTCAATGCCCTCCATTCATCTTCAGTCTTTTCCTAAGGACCCTTTTCTAGCTGCCTGTGAACACGTGCATACCACTCCCTGTCCTCACACAGCTTCTTCATGTGGGCAGCTGGAGGCAGGACTCAAGGCCAGTGGTGTAAAGCCTGAGAGAAGGCCAGCAAAACTGCGGTGAATCAGAAGCCGTGGGGGGAGAAGTCGACACCAGGTTCCCCCAGACATCTAGCCAGGCTTGCTTAACGCAGGAGCATGACTCTAGAAAGCTAGGTTGAGAAGGTCTGTCCGCAGGACCCCATTTCCATCTTCTCCAGTCTGCGCCCCCAGTGACATCTGTCTGTGTCACAGGTTTCTCCCTTCCTCTCGTTCTCCCCATATTTCATGTTTTAAAGGAAAAGGGATGTGTCAGAAGCTGAAGCTTCTGCATGGCGCTGACCACGTTGATCTCGTTTAATGTGGGTGTTTACATAGTAAGCTTTTTTTGACTGATGATGCCATGCCAAATAATCTTAATATTACTTGAATATATATGTGTACAATATACATGTATATATTGGTATTATGTTGATTCTGTCTACCTGTCACTTCTACAACCGTAGCAAGTACATGAAGGGATTTCTGAGAAAAATCAGTAAAACGATTTCCTTCAGGCCTCCTCAGAGGTGAATTGTGAAATGTGGCTTTCCCAAGCCACATGGCTGGTCTCAGGTAGTCTTCTTCCACCCACTCCTCGTGGTGGCCTCTTTGTTCATGTGTTTGTGTAACAAGTAGTAAATTTCCTTTTCTCAGGGGCCACACGGTGAAGGCAGTATGTGAGTCATTCCACCTGGCCAAAGATTCTGGGTTCAAAGTTGTGGCTCATATGATGCCTGACCTGCCGAACGTGGGACTCGAACGAGACATTGAACAGTTCATAGTAAGTGCCGCCTTAAGCCAGTTAACGTACAACCCCACTCACTGCCTGCTTCTTACTACGTACTCTCTCCTCTTGTGGCTTGCTGTTGAATCTCTCCATTACTAAAGCAATGTGTCCTCATTATAGAGTATTAGAAACCTAATAAACAGAGTCACCCCAACCCCAATGCCAGACAAAATTTTTCATCTTTTAAGGAGTCACACACAGGGGTTTCTTCCTGCTTGGTGGTATGGTATAGGAACTGGCTGCTGGCGAGTGAAGAGCAGAGCGCAGTTGGCAGACTGGCTCTTCCCTGTCGTCAGCCTTTCCTGTGTGCCTACAATTCTGGAGTTCAGAAGCTCTCCAGTTTCTCCAGGGAATGGATCTTACCATCGGCCTACACAGAAAGAAGGGATATTTTATTTCCATGTCTGTCTCCCATCCTGCCTGGTTCCAAAGCCTTCTGATCTGGGAGCCTGTCTGGACCTCTGGTATGACTGAGCTGGCCTTCCATCAGTGTCTTTCTTTTCCCAGTTTTCCTTGCTGGCAAAGTCATGTCCCAGTAGTCAGCCATTTTCTGTTTCCAAAAAATATATTGATATCACTTGTCCCTTCCTTGCCTGCTCTATTGTTCTCTTTGCTCTTCAAAAATTTTATTCCCTTCAAAAATCTCTCCTGTTATTTTATTATTGTTTGGGAAGAAAATGAAGGCAACATATTTTAATTGTCTGAACCAGTTCATGCTATCTTTATTCTTACAAGAAGAGTCTATCAGTCCATATTTCTCCCAGAACCAGAAGTACTTTCCTGAAATCTCACATTCAAATGTGGATTCAGACTTGATGGAGAATGGCTTGCATACAGGCTCCTTGCAGCCAGCTAGAATATCTATTAGAATATCTATTAGAATATTTATTAAAGATCTGATGAATCCCTAAAATAGAAATGTTACAGGGAAAGCCACAAAACAATTATTTCTAAGACCACACGGTGCCCAAAGAATACAGCACTTAACACTTTTAACAAATCAATGAGAATGGAAACTCTGCCACTACATTTCTTTGAAAAGCAAGTTAAACAATAGAAAGCTTTGGAAGAATAATGTAGCAAAAGATTTTTTGCATTTTTTGAGATAGAGCATTGCTGGCGAGGGCAGCGGGAGTTGGAGGGAACTGTGTGAGTCCACCTTCACCTCCGGACCTAAGTGCAACCCAGATGAAGGCAGATCAAAGTCATGCGAAGGACAATGCCTACCTTGGGCCTCCTCACTGCAGCCCAAATAAAGAAATGAGGCAGCCAGCAGGGACCGCGTGGGACAGAAAAATGACCATGCCAAAAGTAGATGAGTTAGATGCATTGCTTAGTGTCCAGATAACAAATGGACAGTGTGTATCTCCAGTGAGAAACGGTGCCAGTTGGCTTGAGGACAAAATTGTCACCTCTGGGGATCAGCAAACCATTTCTGAGAAGATCCAGATAGTAAATACTATAAGGTTTTTGGGTTTTGTTTGTTTGTTTTTTTAATGTTTTTCAGGTTGTTGTTGGCAGGGGATGGGGGGAATGTTACCTCACAACTTTAAAAAATTTTAAACAAATGTATTCTTCAAGGAGGATGGATTGGCACAGGGAGTACTTGAAGGTCAGGAAGGCCCCTCTGAAGAACAACAAGCTCTGGGCTGAAAGTTGGCTAGATGTGGGAAACTCCATGGAGTGGTGCGTGCCAGCCAGATGCCATGGTGGGGAGGCCTTGCAGTCCCGCACACAGGTGCTCTGCTCCGGTGAACGCTGGGAACAGGGAGTTTGCATCCTCTCACATACCTGCCCTTTCACAGAAAGACAGGCTGCCCGGGGTCTGCTGGGAGTGCGAGTGATGCTGGCCCAGGGCTGCGGTTGCTGTGAATAGAATCACTAACACAGGAGCGGCTTTCTGTTCTCAACTTCTAGGAGTTCTTCGAGAACCCTGCTTTCCGCCCTGACGGTTTGAAACTCTACCCTACCCTGGTGATTCGTGGCACTGGGCTGTATGAGCTTTGGAAATCAGGAAGATACAAGAGTTACTCTCCCAGTGACCTGGTCGAGCTGGTGGCTCGGATTCTCGCCCTTGTGCCTCCCTGGACTCGAGTGTACCGAGTGCAAAGGTACTGTGTTGTCTTTTATTCCCCGAATAATGGGTGCCTAGTTTATAATTTGTTTACAGCTTCTAATGGGAATAGTCTGACTTCATGTTGAGGGTTTTGAGGTTTCTGTACTAAACATGAGATGCTTAATAATCTATTTTTCTTCCTAAGAGACAAAGATAAGATCACGTTTGGAATTGTTACATTTTTCATTTAATTGTTTTGTGCCTTTTGTTTTTGTTGGCTGGCTGGTTTTTGGTTTTGCTTTTTGTCGTTGGTTTCTTGAGACAAGGTCTTGCTTTGTAGCCAAGGCTGGCCTCAAACTCATCCTGCCTTGACCACCATACCCAGCAACCTGATTTTTAACTAGAAATACCATGTAGCATTGAGTTGAGTTACCTTCATACCTCTGGTCAGAACAGAACTGTTTTCCATGTTCTGTCATAACGGTTCACTCCTACCACCCTGCTAAAATCTACCTATGCTTCAGTGTTACAAATACAAGACCAAGAGTGACTGGCAAATAAAATCAGCCACTGTGGCTAGAACTCCACTGCACACAAAAAGTAAGTTTCTAATTACAGAAAAAGTGAATACTGAAAACAGAATTGTCAGCTCCTTAAGGAAAGTTTTAAGTCAGTGGCCTAACTCTAGGATCCAAATTGCTTATAAAATCAGCTGTTAAAATCATTGCTTTATCCTTCCTCTTCCCTTTCAATTTCCCTTTCCTCTTTCTTTCCTTCCTCTGAAATAATTCAGTGTAAAGACAGATGAGATGGAGCAACCTGGATGTCCCTGTGAGTGAGGCAAGGGAACTGCAGGGGCCTAAGAGGCTGCAGGGTGACTCACGTGGACCAGACAGGGGCTGCTGAAACCTGAAGACAGGAAGCAAGGCGTTCACTCCTGTGCAGTGCTGACCAGGTGGACGGGGGTGGAGGATCTCTTTAGGAGATGGAGGGGAGCAGAAAAGATAACGGCAGCTGACTGGTGACTCACAGGTTGATGTCCTCAGTAGACTAGTTGCTAAGCTGGTCATCTAAGAAGGCAGTTACACTGTGGGAATGGGGGACGCAGACGGGACTGCTGGAACTTTACTGATCTGTAGGCACTTCTCTGTTGAGTTCAGTTGGCAATCAAGATGAACCATCACGGTTTCTAAATACCGTCCTCTACTACAAAGAATAATGAGTTTGTTGTTGTTGTTTTAGAGGACTGGCTCATTGCAGGTTTCAGACAAGGAAAGTAAACCTGGCTGTAGCCTTTTGTGCCAGAAAATAAAGAGTGTGTTCAAGTACAAGAGAGTCCAGTTGAAGGCTCCCTTAGGCCCAGCATGGGGCAATTTCAGTATGAACTAAATCACATTAGCAGATTATAGTCAGATGAATATAATAAGAATCTGTGAGTCCACACTGGTAATTGTAATTAGATCAACATTGTAAGAACCAGAAGAACATAACACCAAGTCTTAATTATAGGCAGATTTCATATTTGCAAATTTGCCTGCTTGAAGAATTAGTGACTCAGGATAAGTACTTGTGGCACATTTGCCACAAATCATTCCCGTACTTGTGCAGAGCAACCGAAATTGTCACCCCACTTAACTGAGGCCAAACAAGTGACCCCAGCTTCCCTTTCCGGCTCTCACACTGCATGCAAGTATACTTCTTTAGTCTACTTAGTGCTGCATTTTTTAAGATTTTTGTGCTGTTTGTTAGGGATTTGCTCTTTGAAATGACCCTAAACACGGTGCTGAAATGCTGTGATATGCCTTGGGGGAAAATGTGTGTGCTAGGTCACCTTCCTTAAGATAGCAGGAGATAGGGCTGTTGGCCGTGAGTAAGTTCAGTGTGATGAATCGGTAATATATGTTAGATCAGCATCTACTAGAAACACACATAAAACAAGGTTATGTATTAATAGACACAAAAGGCCATGGCCAGAGGCTCATGGGAACCCAGCGCTGTACTTTCCATAGGAACAATGGCTTAGACTTCAAGAATGTAATAATTACTTACTTACTAGTTACCATCTAGTAACATAACTGGAATTGACTCTGTTGTCAAGGAGTACCTCTTTATAACATAATAATTATAAAGTGGGAAAGAATAGCTTGACAGTGAGAAGCCTGTCAGCTGATCAGGGGAACACTCTTGGAAAGAGTTTGAAGTGCAGTTATGTGCCGTCTGTGAGGGAATGTTCTTCAGCCAGAGGCCCTAGTTGGAGTGAATATGAGGCACCAGTGTACAAGCCCAGACCAAGGGGAGGTCTGAAAAGAACCTACGCTCTAGTTTGAAAGTGTCTAAATCAGGGAATAGTTCCATGTTGAAGGAGACTAAAGAAACAGTGCATACAATATAGAGTTCCAACATGGGCCATTTTGCTGTGAAAGATTTCATTGGGGCCCCGGTGAAACTTGAAAGGGGGGGCTGCGGATTAGACAATAGAAATTACCTGAGGTGGTTTTCTGATTTTGATGACAGTTCTTTTTGAATAACAGTAACCTTGTAGAAAACAAAGTATTCCATCCAGGTTGGCCCGGGCCATTCACAACTTACTGTCAGATGGTTCTGGAAATAAGTTAGTTGTACTTTTTCTGTGACTTTGAGATTGCTTCAGAAAATTTACATGAGTGACAGTAGGAAATAAGGAGGCAACAAAGACCAGAGAGGAAGGAAGTAGATCATTTCCTTGAACCACCCCAGAGCAGCGATAGGACCCGCAAAACCATATCTTCCCAGCAGAGTGTGGCATAGAATGGAGACCCCTTTCAGCTCAGAGAGCCACAGTCTTACCAAAAGAAGAAAGCGTAGGTACCGCAGGCAGTCAGGCCAAGGATCCACACTCTCCTCCTCCGCCTGGACCCTCCCGTAGCAGTAGCAGTAGCAGTGGATGTCTGTGGGCTTTATCATGACATAGCACTGGCCCAGCACTGCTGCTGAGATGACCTGACCGCTGGAGGGACAAGGTGCAGACGTCCACAGGTGTCCATGAGGGCGGCAGTGAGGCTCTAGTGTGATCGCTGTTGCTTCACAGATCTGTGGGTAGACTAGAGCTTAATGGACTACTGTAAAATCAGAGGCAGTGGCACTGTCGGTAGTGGGGTGCTCCGCAAGTCCTGGGCGAGTGTGAGGACGGTGTGTGGTCTACAGAGAAGGGCGATTCGGTTTCCTGCACGCAGATGTCTCCACACCCACCACCATGCCAGCTTTTCCTGCGCATACTGCACTATGAAGATGGTTGTTAACTAGGCTTCTTAAGTCACCAGCAGATGTCCTTTTCGTGTTTTCTATTTTATTTTCATACGTTTCATAGTCTTACTATCACCTTATTTAAGTTATACAAGTATGTTTCCATTCAAATCATTGGGATTTTTTAAATGTAATTTATTGTGGAGTAGTGTTAAATATTACTTGCTAGTTTGTAGTGGGAATTGTTGAAGTATTACTGTGTCTACTTGTATAAGAAATCTAATTTTTATATGTTGCTACTTGCTTTTTTCCATTTTTTATTTACATGTTTTCTTTGTGTATACATTTGGCCCTCTGTACCCATGGGAGCTGGATCTCGGGATTCACCTAACTTGAGACCAAAATGACACCTGTACTGAACACAGAAACTTTGTATTATCATTCCCTGCACCATACTGAGTAAGCACCGTTTGCACAGCACTGACGCTGTGTTAGGTGATGAGTCATCTGGAGACGCGTGATTTAGGAGAGGGTGTGCCTGTGTCTCCTACGCCATTGATGTAACCAAAGTGTCTGATCATTTTAGCACCTGAAAGAGCCAGTCCCTCACAGATACTGGAGGTGTCACACTGAAACTGGAACTCACCATTCATTACACATAATCCCAGAAAGTTTGCACTCAGCTCGTGCAGTGCTGAAGTCACTCATGAGATTCCATTTCCTGCTCCCTGTCCCGTGTCATGTGGTTCTGCCACTTGCACTGTGCAGTCATCACCATAACTTTGCTTTTTGAGTCATTCGTGTTTACATTTTTATGTTACTGAGTTTGGTATATAATACTGATAGCCAGAATTTGGTTGCTGTGCCATTACTAGTCATACAGTGCTATATTTCCATGAATAAACTCATGTTTTCTCTACAAAACTACCTCATAGCTATTTTCCCACACCCTGTCCAGCCCCACTTTAAAGTAGTCTATTTTTTTCATCTCCTGCTGAGGCTTGGCATCTTCCTGGGAATCTTTATGAAGCAGCACCCTGAGAAGAGATTCTGTATTCTAATCCTGACAGATGCACCAGTGGCTGCACATAAAATTGGGAAGGCATGTTAGCAGCCATGTTAGTGCTGCTGCCCTCAAGCTGTTTGACAGCTGTCTGCCTCCGCGTAGGATTTAAATCACGGCAAGGCATTAGAATAGGAATGCCAATTTGCAACCAAAACATGCTTCTGAAGCCTGAGAAACTTTAGACAAAACACTCTACACATCACGGTGATCTTCAAAGGTTTTTAAGGAGCAAAGAACAAAAACCAACACCTCTAAGCTGGATGTAGTCAAAAAAGGAATGATCTCATATGTAATCTCTTCATGCCAAGAAAGTAAAATTAGATTGAAATATATTGAGGAACCTTTCATTTCAACTTCTATCTAAATGGATGTGCCGAAGGCAAACAGTCCATAACTTCTCCTACAGTTGAGCTCCCAGAGTGTTCTAGATCCAGACCCACGCGGGTGGCACCTTGCTCGGAGAGGACAGCTATCTCCCTGCAGTTTCTGTGGGAAAGACTTCGGCGCACTGCAAGTGGCAGTTGTTCCTAGTGAGGAAAACTTTGAGGCATGTCACTGCAAAGACCACTGAAGCCATGTTCATTTTTGTAGTGACAGACATAAGTTTAAGGGCATTTACACGAACTGTCAGCATCGCCGTGAGTCCCTGTGTGAACAGGCTGACTCTAGTGGGCAGGACCAGCTTCAAGAGCATGCATGCCACACAGGGCTGGTGCTTGGCTTACTGCAGACTCTCACCAGCTTGAGGTTACTAATATTTAATAAGGGGCCCCATATCCTCATTTTTTCCTGGATCCCCACAGATTATATGGCAGCCTGCTGGTAACAGGTAAGTATAAGTAAGTATTGAACAGTTAAACCTAATGTTTGGGAGCTCCCAGAAGCCTAACCCTGAATATTCCATTCCCTAGAAATGGTGCTTTAGTGTAGAAGGTACATTATAGAACATAACTACCACAATAATACAAATCGAACGTATTTGTCACATGGTGTATACTACTAGCATGGCTACCACTGTACAACAGTGTTTGAAATTGTTACTTGAAGTTGTAAAATATAGCCCTATATTTCATATATTTGAATTATGTATAAGATGCTTCAAGGTAAAAAGATTTTTAAGTGATTTGACCTTTAGCTTATGCAATATGAAACAGTAAAACAATATTTGATGTCTATGTTTCTTACTAAAATTCTTATTTTCATTTTGATAGCCTTCCTCCATTTCATCTGATTACTAACTTTGAAACATTTTTTATTTTAAAAAGCTGTAGTTCCAAAGTTAAAAATGCATTTTACTGAAAAGTATAAGTTAGCCATATGTACTGACTCTCCTAAATCACGCCAGAACACAATTGCATGTCACTCTCACTGAGCTCCTGCTTGCTTGTCTTTAAGCATTTTATGGAAATTCTTCTGGCTTCTTAAGCTGAATGGGCTTGTTGGGAATAGCTTGTTATGCTCAATAATTGGCTTTGATACCTTTGAGTGAGGAATATCGTACTAAAATCAAATTACTAACAAGTAATTGTGTTTAACGGGTAAAGGAGTAAGTGGAGAGAGCAGGAGAAGACTTGTTGATTCTAGAACAAGAGAAAAGGAAAATAACTAAATAATTTCACATTTTGCTTCTGTTAACTAAACATCAGATTAAACTTTGTATTTACATAGGAAAGAAGACATGCTTAGCATAGACTTCAGATCATTTTTTAAAACCTCCATACTTAGGTGCTGGGTTGTGGGGGGGGAGGGGGTTGTAAGTTGTTTTGTTGTTTTTGCCAGTCCTGGGGCTTGAACTATGGGCTTGGGTGCTGTCCCTCAGCTTCTTTCTGCTCAAGGCAAGCTCTGTACTACTGGAGCCACAGTGCCATTTCCAGTTTTTCTGAATAGTTTACTGGAGATAAGAGTCTCATAGACTTTCCTGCTAGGCTGGCTTTGAACTGTGATCCTTAGATCTCAGCCTCCTGAGTAGCTAAAATTACAGGCATGAGCCAACCTCACCCACCAGCAAGTGCTGGGTTTTTTGTTGTTGTTGTTGTTTGTGTGTGTGTTGTTATCATTTTATCGTAGAATGTTGGGAGTTTTCTGTAAGATGGTGTTGACCCTGCTAACATAGTAACATAGACTGCATACTTGGTCCTTCGTCATGTATTGGTGCTTGGAAATGAATTTTATTAGGCAAATTTGTATTGTCTTTAGGCAGAGTCACTTCTAATTTAGAAGCGGACAGGAAAGTTTTGAGTCTTTGAGAATAGTGATTGACTATGCCAGGCTTCTGAGCTTCCTGGTTACTTTCATCCAGCCACAACGATGTGAAAGTATTCATAAAGCTAGAAGCGTTGTATTAATTGAAATTGGTATTTCCCTTCAGGAAACAAACTGACGTTTATTAAAACCCATTTTGTTTCCTTCTTTTCAGTTTGGTATTTTCTCTTCCGCCAACAATCTTCACTAGTGGTTATTAGGCATTTGGGCATGGGTTTGTACTTTGTAATCTTATAAAATGATTTCCATCAGATGTCTCCCACAGAAACTCTTAAGAAGTCAATGAAATTACATTTCATGAATGGGAGAACAAAGATAGAGTAACACTCTGCAGGATATTCAGCTTCACAGGCATTTTTTCTGGTGTTTTTCTGTATAGAGACATCCCGATGCCCCTGGTGAGCTCAGGCGTGGAGCACGGCAACTTGAGGGAGCTGGCCTTTGCAAGGATGAAAGACCTCGGGATACAGGTGAGAGCCCACAGGAGCACTGAGGAAGACGCCATCAAGGCACAGGGCTGCAGGAGTGTTGCTTTTCTCATTGAGTCAGAAAGTGTGCATATGTTGAAGGCGTTCTGTGATCTGTAGAGGCTGGAACAGGTGCTGGCAAAGGCTGCAGTCTATCCCTTTATCCACTTCTGCTTTCTTCTACCTAACAGTGTCTATTTAACCGTGTAATGGTGGTTGTTTTTTTCTACCTGCTCTGATTGCCAACTATATATGTTCAACAACTTTTTTCAGAAACTTCTTTCTTTCAAAGTACTGGATTTTTTTCTTCTTTACCAGCTGGGTCATAGGAGAGTAAGATATGGTCCGCAGAAGAAAGTAGGTCCATTGGAAAATACGAGGATTATATTTAAGAAATAATTACCAAACAGTGCCATTGCCCTGTCTGCACGCTCCCTAACCCATCCCCACTGTCAAGTCACTTGTTTTAATATTTAACAAGAGGAATCTATCGCTTAACTCTCTCGAGAAAGGTAATTCATTGAAACTCAGGGTCTCAAGAACTTGTTAGAGCTGCTGAAGACATAAGCCAGGAGTGGTGTCCAGCCGGGGCACTTGGTGGCCAGCTCTGCCTCCCAAGATTGGTTGTATTTAACCAAGATAAGGCGAAGGTATCAGTGCACTGTGCCTGATCACATGTGGACCATGCTTTAGGAAACTTTGTTCCAGAGCATGTACACGATGTTTACAGGCTCAGCCTAAATTTAGATTTTATATTCTCAAATTACTGTGGAGAAAAACTCTTAAAACTGTCCAAGTGGGGGCTGGGAAGGTGGCTCAGTGGTAGAACACTTGCCTTGCATGCATGAGGCCCTGGGTTCGATTCTTCAGCACCACATAAGCAAAAAGAAAAAAGCCGGAAGTGGCACTGTGGCTCAAGTGGCAGAGTGCTAGCCTTGAGCTGAAAAGCTGAGGGACAGCACCCAGGCCCAGAGTTCAGGCCCCACAACTGGACCCCCCGCGCCCCCCCCAAAAAAAAAACTGTCCAAGAGAAGGCTAGTGAGCATTACTGGCTTAGTATTTTAAAAAGTTAAGTTATAGAAACGAAATAAGTGCATTTAGAGTGATTAGTGGTGTATGTGTTCCGCTGTCCAGGTTCTTATCGCCCCTCAGAATCCTGCTGTAGAGGATGCTGCCAGTCCTGCTTACTGACAGCCTCCTCATCTCTCCACCTTCTTCAACTCTGCCCTGTGTTACCCTGCTAGTCTCTGTTAAATAGCCTGAGAATGAGTATGGCATTCAGTCACAGCTAATAGACACCCAGTTCCCATAAGCAGTGGCTATTGGAAAGCAGGCTCATGCTATCTGCTTTCTAGAAGCATGCCCTGAAAAAGAACAAGAAGAAAGAAGAAGCAGGGATACACGTTGCTACAGTATATCACAGCAAGATACTATATAGAACAACAGTAGCTGAAAGACAGCATCTGCATTTATTATGTCATTAATTGCAGAAATTGTTGGCCTTTGTTTATGTGCAGTTTGCATCAGCAAAATATTGTCCTGAGCTGGTTTCTGGGGTGTGAAAATAGGTTTGCTTTTTTGCAGAACTGGATACTGAACTCTTTTTTAAAAAAATGGAATTCCATACATATATAGCAATTCTTCATAAATACGTTAGTAGTGTTACTTGCACGGCTATCAAATGTTTAGAGTGATTTTTTTTTCTCACTGGTAAAAATGGCAAAAGTCTGAAAATAATGTTTACGATGCACTCTACAGGAAAAATTATACCATAGGACATAGAACGGAATAGTGTAAGGATTTTATGTAAACACTTGGCTGCAGAGCATGCATAACTAGGCATTGTGAGGGTTGCATACTAGATGTCTGGCCAGGCAGACCAAGCATTGCCCTGGCGTTGTCTGGAGGCAGCTTTGTGCCGCTGGGGATAGGCAAAAGGCCATTTGTAATTGTGGTTCTGCTTGTTTACTATTTGACTTTAACCTCCTTCCTTACTTCCTTTGTTCTTTCATTCTTTTCTTCCTCTCGTCTTTTCTTTTACAATGCCTTTCTCTGCAAAAACATAATCTTTAACATGCATCTTTGACGTGTCTAAAATGATACCAATAAGATAACACTAAAAGTACATTAACTGCCATAAAATAGTGAAAGTTTAAAAATTGTAGGAATTTGCTTTTGCTCTTCTCTGCACATAGTTTTGGATTATACTTTCAGATAGTTATATCCTCTGGGCAAAACTATTTTCTGGCTTTATGACTCATGTTCTCTTCCCTCCCCTCCAGATCATATTATATGTTGGTCTCTTGAATTCTAAATTTATTTGAAAGGCAAAACAGCACAGCTTTGTAAGTTTTCATTCTGCTTTCTTCCACTCTCAAATTTATTAAAGACAGACTCCTTTAAATGTTCAGTTTTTAATGTCAACATAAATTGTGTTCAAACTCAGTTTTGAGCCCAGCATTTAATTTAAATAAAAGAATGATTTAAATGAACATTGAATTTCCACTTCAATTTTTTTTTTTGACAGTGTCGAGATGTGAGAACCAGAGAAGTTGGAATACAAGAAATTCATCACAAAGTACGGCCATATCAGGTCGGTTTCACTTAAACCGTTGCCAAACCTGCACTCCCACCTTACAGATCAGACCGAGCCCAAGAAGTAACTCAACAGAGCAGAGTAATTAGGAAGTAGATATAGGTATCAAGCCAGGAAACCAAGTGTGCAGGTAACTGAATGGGAAGAGAACCAGGTTAGGAAAAACAGGTGTGCTCACTCTTGCAGTGTTAGAAATGTTCTGCAATCTCAGCTGCTCAGTGTGGAAGCCATCAGTGCCATGCTGACCACCCTACACTTGGAATATTGCTGTACAAATGGGGGATGAAGGGCTTAGTTGTGACGTGATTGATTACCTTTTGGTAGAGTGCAACTTACAGATATTTGTCCAGTGGTGATAATCAGATGCATAAACAGCACTTATTCCCAGGTTTCCACAGAAATGAAGGGTGATGTTCTAAGACATTCATTCTATGTAGGGACATAACTTCACTTTTTATACCTATAATGTTTCTAACTACATGACAAATTAAGTGTGGGGTGTAAGTCATAAAATTCCATTTGAAGCTGGCCACCTGTGGTTCATGCCTGTAATCCTAGCTACTCAGAAGGCAGAGTTCTGAGAATCACACTTCAGAAACAGCCATAGCAGACAAATCTTTTAAGATTTATGTGCAAATGACAAGCCAAAGGTTAGCAGCAGAGTCGTGGCTCAAGGATAAAGCATCAGCCATAAGCAGAAAGGCATGAGGCCTTGAATTCAAGCCCTTGTACCAGCCAGCACACACAAAAAGAATACCACATCAGAAAGGCTGGACTAAGATGATCTTTGCTTGCATTAATAAATCTACTCCTAGCATGAATTGTGTATGTCATTGATATTTTACACATCTGGGACCTTTTGAAAGGAAAGAGTAGACCCAACAGAATTCTTATGCAATCCAGGTACTGGGCAAACATGAAATTGAAAAGAAATAAAAATGTTGATTTGAATTGTTGAGTGCACTAGGGTATCATGTGACCATTTAGGGACTGTGTTGTTATGTCCATATCTAAATGTCATTGTGCAAGGCCATTTGCACAATGGTTTGAAGAGTTAAAGATCTATAAAAGTTGCTACCACAAAAAAATCTACCTTCCAGTAATTAGATTTTCAAGATCCCAATGGAATAACCATACTTGCTAAATCCTGTCTAGGAACTGGGGGTCAGCACCTTGTTCCCCAGCCTCTACACAGGCTTTAGTGGAGGAATTAGAGACTAGAAAATGAAACCATTCAACACTGGGGACCAAAAGTAGTGCCCCTAAGAGCTATGCATGGCACAGAATCTGTAGATCTTAACTGAAGATCAAAGATTAAATACATTCACTGAGTTGGATAGCTGGAAGAATCTCAAGGTTAATTAAGTTCAAATATTTGAAAAAATCATTCTCCATTTATACTAGTCCATGAACAAGACCTGAACCTTCATTTAATCTTAGTGCTATTTGAGAGGAGACAAGTAAAAAGAAACATAATTAGTGATGATTCATTCTGGGTTCCTAACTGAGTCTTAGCTTAGATAAATACATACAATTATAAAAGTGAACTTCTTTAATTTTGAAAAGTATTTTTGTGGCTTTTTATTCAACAGGTTGAATTAGTAAGGAGAGACTATGTTGCAAATGGTGGCTGGGAAACGTTTTTGTCCTATGAAGATCCTGATCAGGACATTCTGATTGGCCTCCTGCGATTACGGAAGTGTTCAGAGGAGACTTTCCGGTTTGAGTTGGGCGGTGGTGTTTCCATAGTTCGAGAGCTGCATGTCTATGGGAGTGTGGTTCCCGTGAGCAGCCGGGATCCTACAAAATTTCAGCATCAGGTAGCCTATATTCTACTCATATTTGTTTTCTAATTAATGAGAAGGGGAAGAAGAATCTGGGGTAGGGAGGAGAGAGGGGTATATGTGTGTGTGTTCTTTTTTGGAGGGGGGTCCGGTCTTGGGGCCTGAACTCTGGGCTTGGGTACTGTCCCTCAGCTCTTCAGCTCAAGGCTAGCGCTCTACCACTTGAGCTACAGTGCCACTTCCGGCTTTTTTCTTATGTGGTGCTGAGGAATTGAACCCAGGGCCTCAAGCATGCAAGGCAAGTGCTCTACCACTGAGCCACCTTCCCAGCCCATGTGTGTGTTTTCTTATACCAGGTCTTACATTTAGGGCCTGGGCACTGTCCTTCATCATTTTTCTCTCAGGGCTGGTGCTCTACCTCTTGAACCATAGCTCCACTTAGGGCTTTTTGGTGGTTTCGTGGAGATAAGTCTCACAGACTTTCCTTCCCAATCTGTGACAGATGTCAGCCTTGTAAGTAGTTAGGCTTTCTGGCATGAACCATGGGCACCCAGCTAGAAGAACTCAAATTTTAATTGTTTAGAGGTGTTTGCTCTCTCTATTGCTCCCTTTGATGAATAAGGGGGGCCGAGCAAGCAACAAACCGATTCGGCCATGTTGAATATCACAGAATACATGAAGTTGCTGCTGTAGAAAGTCATCTGGTACTGGTGGTTTTGTATGGGTCAGATGATGGCATGAAAGCACCTTTGGAATATTAAAGCACTTCTGAAGTGTAAGTTGTTACTTGTCTGAGAATCCTATTCTAAGCCCAACCAACCTAAAATTAGCAACATACCTTTTGAAATTCAGGAAAATGTGTTCAAAGCACTCATGGCAGCTCTCAGATAGGCCCCCATTTTGATGATCTAACAATCTTGCCTCGTTCTGCACCCTTCTAGAAAGTACAGTATGGCTGTAATAAATGAAAAACTACAGCCCCAGACTTCGTCCCTTGGAGACTGCCTAGAACTGTCCTGTCAGGCGGCTCCAGGCATGAGTTCCCCCTGCTCGAATGCATTGCTCTCACCACTGGAGACCTTGCGGGCGCTCTTATTGGAAAGTTAAACCTCACTTACTAGTCAACGCCAATGTACTTTTAGTATAATTGTGTGGCTTCTTTATCCTTTCTCCTAAGCAGATTTGTGTTGCTCTTTTTTTTAACAGGTTTTAGGAACCACTAAATTATAACCTTGTTTTATGGGCCTCATTTAATGGAGTTCCTTCCTTTCTAACCCCCAACCCATTTGTTGTTCCTTCCAGGGTTTTGGCATGCTGCTGATGGAAGAGGCAGAAAGAATAGCTCGAGAAGAACACGGATCTGGGAAAATAGCTGTTATATCAGGTAACAAGTGGGGGGGCTAAGTTCATGATTCACTCACATTCTGGACTTGGTACCACAAGGAAGTTGTCTCCCCTCAGGAATTTCATACCCCATTTGTGATCAGATTGGACAGGCTGAGCAGGGAAGGACTTGTGCTCAGACACTCAGGAGCTTCCTCAAAGCAGTTGGGTAGAGAAGAGCTTTCAGCAGCACCCACCGCCGCAGGCCCAGGCCCTCTTTATACCTCTCCTTCACTGCCTGTCACCAGGGGCATCGTGGTCAGCTGCTCCCTGTGCCTTGCGCCCCGTTAACCCTGTCCAGGGAAGTAGAATTTGATTGCAGTAACCCAAGGAAAATGTAAATAACACTGTCGCCATCATCAGGCGACATTCAGATCATTCATGTTCACCTCAGTTGCCAATGCAAGATGTTACAGACAGAGTTCCTGCTCCTCGGCACTGCTCTCATTGCCTCTGCTCCTGGGGGAAAGCTTCTGTCTGCACACAACCTTCTTTAGGTCCCTGGCTGGTCTGAAAATTAAACGGCATAGGCAAATGAAGAGAGGGGCAGTATACAGGTGGATTTAGTAGAAATTATGCAACACACAGTACCTTCCTAAGGAAAGGAAGAGCCAAAAAAGATTAAACATGGAGTTTAACCTCCAACTAGGTTGGAGGAGGAATGAAAAAATACCATAGGGAAGAGGAGTCTAAGCCAAGGGAGTAAGTATGGTGAGGAACCTAGCAAAGCCTGGAGTTCAGATTCCTCTTGGAGGCTTTGTGTCGGAGAGTAAGAGTGTTCCTTTGCACCAGGAAGCAGGGTGGGGGCACCTGCTTCCAAGGACAAAGGGAGAGGAAGGGGAGGGCCCTTCCTGTACTCACTGTGTCCTTAGATTCCTCCAGCTTCTGTCAAGCACCTGTTGTGGGTAGCACGTCCTGAATCCCTCTAGGAGCTTCTCATTCCTTCCCTACGACAGAATATACCCGCGGGAGTGGGCATGAAAAGGAAATTCTGGTGTGATTGGAACAGAAAATGTAGATACCTGGGCTGGGAAGGTGGCTCAGTGGTAGAGTACTTGCCTTGCATGCATGAAGCCCTGGGTTCGATTTCTCAGCACCACATAAGCAGAAAAGGCCAGAAGTGGTGCTGTAGCTCAAGTGGTAGAGCATTAGCCTTGAGCTAAAAAGTTGAGAGACACCTCCCAGGCCCCATAGCCGACCAAAAAAAAAAAATGTGTATACCTTTTTGCACCTCCACTCCCAGGCTGGCCTTGAACTTTTGATCCTCCTGCCTCAGTCTCCCACGTTTCTGAGATTACAGGTATATGCCATCGTACCTGGCTCTTGCTCCTATTCTTTGACATTGTATCCCTATATTAAAAAAAAAAAAAAAAAAGCTAATTCCCAGTGCAAAGGTAAGGTGGTGAAAGCCAGGATCAAAGTTAGGTTGTTTCTCCCCAGCATTTGTTTGTTTTCCCATTAGATTACAGCATTCCAAATGTTTAACCACTGAGAAGATAGTCTTCTCTAAAACTAATGATTGAAATGAGGTTAAAAAGAAAAAAAACAGTTGCCAATCATTAAATCAATACCCATGCCCAGGTCTTAATGATTATAATTATGGAACTTTAATCACACAGGTCCACTTATCTAGCCTTATGCATTTTTCTCTCATCTTTTTGTTTATTTGTTTTGCCCGTCCTGGGGGCTGAACTCAGGGCCTGGACACTGTCCGTAAGCCTCTTGGTGCTCAAGGCTAGCACTCTATCCTTGAGCCACACATAGCACCAATTCTGGATCTTTTTGAGTGGTTTATTGGAAGTAAGAGTTTCATGGACTTTCCTGCGTGGTCTGGCTTCAAACCATGATCCTTAGATCTCAGCCGTCTGAGTAGGATTTCAGGCGGGAGCCACTAGCATTCGGCTTCAGAGTAGCAAGATGTTCGTACTCTCTAACCTTCCTGGCTAAGGCAGTGCTAACTCCACCCCCTGGCAGCACCACACTCCCAGAGCCTCAACATATAGTCACGTGATTTTTTTTTTGGTGTCTATGACACCCTAATCCGTTTTAAAACTTAAGAGCATCCATCACTGCCCAACATGATTTCATCCTCCTTGCTGCCACCTCTCTCTCTGCAGAAATGAGGCGTGCAGGCCTCTGCCTCGCCTGAGGTCATATCCAATTGCTTGTAAGAGCCTCCGCGCCTGCTTTCTGAGCAGGGCGTCTCTCTAAGTGGAAATCAGCATCTGTCCTCTTGCCAGCTTTTTGTCATAATCTAAATGATAGCTCAATTTTAGATCATCTGCATGGAGAATTTGAAAAATAACAAGAGGCATGGTCAGAATAACAGAGAAGAAATGTTCTCCTTGTCAGCTTATATAGCAAGTCTGCTGCTTTGTGTACAGGATCTTGCTTTTGTCCAGTGGGTTCTATGTCCCTGGAAGGTATTCTTGGAACTAAAGTGAGTGGACTTTTTCCTTTTGTCTTGTGGAGAAACGACACACAAAGCATTATTTCCTGTCCCTTCTGGCTTGGATACCATTGCTGTCTGTAGGGATGTAGGGCCTTGACTTTCTGTTTGACTCAAGTACTAGTCACTCTTCATCAAACCACTAACAGTATTTGCTCAGTGGAGGGTGCATTCATTCCTCCATGTTAGCAATATGACACCGTTCTGTGTTTCTGAATCAGATACCTGAGCTCTCTGTTACTCAGAACCTGGGGGGGGGGGGGCGTAGATATGAAGTGTTCATTACTGTAACACGTTTTAAATGTGTTTTTCTTCCATGTGTGTTCACCTTGCCTTTGGCTATTCTGATTGAAGCACAGGATGTGTGTCAGCATGTGCATGTGTTTTCATTGGGTTTTGTAAAAAAGCTGTTCTCTGTATGTTGGTCATTAGAATGAAAATCTCTATGCTAGAACTGGTGTGTGGGGACTGCATTTTTGTCAGCAGCACTGCACCAGCTGTGGCTTACAAAGAGAGATGGTGGCCAGTGTGGGTAGGCAGGGAGCCATGGTTCCTGCATGTCAGTAGCTCCCCTGGTGATCTCCATGGGCCCTTTTCCTTATTACACATAACTCAATGCCAGATAGAGGTGGCTCATGCCTGTACTCCTACTCAGGAAACTGAGCTCTGAGAAGCTTGCGTTTAGAGCCAACCTCAAGCAATACTCATATCTCCACTTAACCAGCAAAATGCCAAACTGGAGGTATGGTTCACGTGGTAGGTTACCCAGCTAAAATTAAAACTGCCAAGCAAGAGCACCAGGTCCTGTGTTCCATTAACAGTCTATGCGCGCGCGCGCACACACACACACACACACACACACACAGAGGTAATTAGCTCATCTTTACAGTTCTATCTAGAATTCCTTGGGGCATTTGCTTTTTGAGTTCTCAGCATCTATGCTTTACTGGTCATCTTTCTGTAGGTTCTCTTCTGACACTGTAGGAGAAGGCCTCACTGCAGACTGCAGACCCTGTAGACGCTGCGATGACCATGGGCACACATTATCATTGGTCACAGTGGGGTGATGCCACCTCGCCCTTGGTTTGGAGAGCCATCCCGTGCCCTGGGCATGTAGGCTTTGCTGTAAGAAGTCCTGTGCAGCACTAGTGTAGACACCCCGTCCTGGCATCACGAGAAGAGGAAGAGACAGAGTCATTCATCATCTCAGTTACCCTGGCTCTTAAGAGTGATGCACTTGCATAGATTTTTTTCCCCCAATTACATTCTGAATCATCATGACTTCCCTTCATCTTGCAAGCAGATTTTCTCCACTATTTAGATTGATGAACTTTGATTCTGCCTTTAGACTATATTATTAACTGCATGGTAGATTTGATTTGCGTCACAAGTCAGAAAGATCTTGTATATTTTCATTTTCCTTAAAACGGACTACATGAGAAAAATGAGACGTTCCTTGTTTATCAAAGTCAGATGATGTGCTTTCTTAGAAAGAGAAGCTCTTCAGTTTATTCTCTTTTAAGTATATAATTTGCCTTTGTAAACTGTTTTTAACATTACCTATCAACTTTAAATGTTTCCGTTATAAACAAGGCAAAAATAAAGGCGCTAGCCTCACCAAAATTACTACCTGTGTCATGGGGGCCCAGAGCAGGGGAAGGAGACATTTGGCCACCTTCCAGGACAGTTTGGCTTTGCAGGCGGCAGGCGGGACAGCAGCACCTCACCCGCTGACTGTCCTCCACTGCAGAGAACCAGCTGCCCCTCCTTAGACGCCACAGTTTCTCACTGGGGACTGATTGCTCCAGAGTAAGAAAATAAAAAGGGTAATCCATGTTACAAAAACAACCAGCTTATGAAATAGTGTGTAGGCAGGAAATAACCATTAATTGTTGTCGAATTTCAAAGTAATTAATTAGTCCCTTTTAAGTGTAAGTGTTTTAGTATCTTTTACCAACACACATGTGTTTAAGATTAGCAAATTGTCTCCTTAAAAACCGTAATGTTTATTCAAACGATAGCTCAGCATGCTTTCCTTCAAATAGGTCAGGATAAAGCCATTTTTTCTCCTCCCTGTATAGTGGAACAGGGAAAGGAATTACACTGTGAAGTATAGAAGCTAGCCACAACATTTGAAATACCATCACTAATAATCACCATGGAAACAAGACCTCTGACGTCACACTGCCTATACCATCTCCAAAAGGGCAGCTATAACTGACAAGAGCCACTGTTGAAAAGCCATTTAACACCCCTTACAGACTGGGTTTTTTTTTTCCTTTTGGCAGTTTTGGCCAGGTATCAGATTTAATCATGTTACTGTTTCAATTTGCCAAGCTAATTGCTATGCAGTGAGACGAACAGCTATTCCCTCTGCTCCCCTCCCACCTTCCTCACAAGCAGTAGTCTATTTGTGTTCTTTCAAGTAGAAAATTAATATGGCCATTGGCCAAGAATTGTCCAAGGCTGATAGATTACACAGTGATGGTGAGAAACGAGAAAAGCGTCTGAATGGTTGATGACAGAAATCACTGAAGTCAGAGGCTGATAGC